TTTTTAGCAAAAAAGAAAAAATTCTGCGAAATTCAAATTTAAAAACATCTTTCAGAGTTTTAATGCAATTACCATAAAATCTTTTAACATTATAAACATCGTCATTCACTTAAACTTTTTGTAGGTTCTTTTACAGCATGATTCAGATCTAGATATTTTTGTACGGAAAAGGACGCCTAACATTTAGCCTGAATTTTTAATTGTATTGTTATGGGGTATAAACAGTAAGACCTTTTCGAAAGGAACTCGAAACTGAAAAACAAAATTAACATATGTCCCTTCACTAAAAAGATATAAGGGTCTAAAATATGAAATTCCCGCCCAATTACTTTCTATGTTCTTATTTTGGCCGATCGCTTGGTATTTCTGGTTCCTTTTTTACGTGTTCCAAAAGTAGTCCAATTGAGTAAAATCGATAGCCAAATAGAGGATATGGCATGGCCGCTCGGAGACACAGACCTGCCAACTCTCGTGATTCTGCCGTGAGTCTCAAGATTTTTTAACTTTTCTCACGGCCTCACGACAAGACTCCAAATCTCGCGGTTTTTTGGGAAGTATCATTCTGAAAATTTAAATGAAATGTTACTTTGTTGAATAAAAACGTAAGTTTCGCGGGGAATGCTAGTTTAAGCCTTGATAGGGCTTTGTAACATTTTAGCCATGAAGTTGGCTTATCGGAAAGAAATGACTCTTTGCTATAAGTTTCGTCCCAGTGATGACCTCTTCTCTGGCCTCTTAAAGTCATCAAAGAAAAAGCGGCATCTAATTTGTTACAGAAGGGACCCAACTAAAGCAGGGTAATATTGAAGACCAATGTTAAGAAGACTAAGGCGATGAAAATCCGTAAGAGGCCTGGTGAGGAATTACTATTTTTCTGCACTGAAGATGGCCGTAAAATATATGAAGAATACATGTACGAGACAAGTCAGTTAATAACCCATTCATGGAGTGTTCTGTCGCACTTTGTAATAAAATTGTCGCACTTTGTAATAACACTTGCCGCACTTTGTAATAAAAAAGCTGTCGCACTTTGTAATGAAATACCGTAAAATTCCGAAAATAAGCCCCTCCATGTATGAGCCCCTCCAAACATAAGCCCCCCAAGCCCGTAACGCATAAAACCCTCCGTTAAATCGCCCCTCCCAATATAAGCCCCCGCGGAGGCTTTTACTTGGAAATTGCCCTACACAAACATCGAGCACAACACGGTGCTACAATCATTATCATCATCATCGTTATTATTACTGTTATTATCGCACTACTGCATATCATTGTGCCACAATGACTGCTAATTTTGTGGAAATTTCGAATGCACTAGAACCGACATGAAACAAAATAGATTCATAATAATCGGAAAATGCGACATCGCAAAGTGTGGCCCAGCTAAGAGCCATTATGGGACTATCATGAAATTACGAAATGCAAATCTTTAGTTCAATGATACTAACAAAAGATCTCAGTCTCGAATGTTTATGCTCAAGTTCCAATCTCTATGTAAGTTGTAACAACAAGGCATTTTTCCGCCTCTCGTTGCTACAAGTTCTTTCTGTCTAGCAAAATATTGAGATGTCTCTTCCTAGACCTTTGAAGTATGCTACAGTCAAACCTCTTTAATACGGACACCAAAGGGACAGAACCATTAATTTTGTACGCTTTACAGAGGTTTCCGTATTATAGAGGTAGGGAATGTATGTTTTTTTGCATTTCTGGGACCAAACGAACTGTCCGTAATAGAGAGGTGTCCGTAATTCTTAACTTAACTTGACTTTATTATTCCATCGCTCATATAGTACAAACTCAGTAAAGCCAAAGCCGGGGGCTTATACGGTCTGTGGTCAGAATGACAGAAATTATTTTATATAGAAATGAAGACTGTAAGTTAAACTACAAAACTAAAACAAGATACAAAACTGAAATTAAATAAGTTTACATGCATGCAGTCCCATACCAGAGACGGAACTAGTGACAAATAAACTAACAATAAACTATGAGAATCCTGCGCTAGTTCAATTCAGGCTTATCTTTTTAAAGTTAGTAGTGGTAAGGCTGTCACGGACAGTCAAGGGGATATCGTTCCAAAAAGTCGGGGCTTGAGAACTAATCGCAAATTGATACCTGAGGGACATTTTATTTAAGTTGAAACGAGAACGAGTTTGATAATCATGAAAATCACGATTAAAGTAGAGGAGCGAGGAAAGAGAGGCAGGTAAAAGGCGATTAAAGTGTGAGAATACAAAACAAGAAACATGAAATTTATAAAGTGAATGGAGAGAAAGAATATTAAGCTTCGAGAAAAGAGGCTTAGAACGAGTTCGTGGAGCAGAAAACGTGATAATTCGAATGGCTTTCTTTTGGAGTAGATGGAGGGGTTCAAGGTAGGAGGCATATGTAGATGCCCAGATGAGGTTACAATAGTTGATATAAGGTAGAAAGAGGGAATTATATAAGGTTCTTAGAGTGACCGAAGGTAAGTATCGTCTCGATTTAGACAAAATTCCTATAACCTTAGCGACTTTATCGCAGATGGAGGTGATGTGAGGTTTCCATCAAAGGTTTTCGTAAATAATTATTCCATGAAATGTATGTTCCTGTACCCGCGCTATAGGGGTGTTATTTATTAAGATGTTTAATTCTGAAGGACTGATCTGTTTACGTCGTGGATGGAAGATGATGAATTTGGATTTATCAGGATGAACAGTAAGCTTGTTTGCGTTAAACCAGGAGGAGACATGAGAAAGCTCTTGATTAACCATTCTAGCGAAAGTAGCCAAGTCTTTATGACGAAGAAAAATATTGGTTTCATCAGCAAAGAGAATAAATGAAAGAAAATTTGAAGAAAGAACAAGATCATTAATGTGTAAGAGGAATAATAAAGGGCCAAGAACAGAACCTTGAGGGACCCCACACACAACAGTATTATTAGAAGAAACATGACCGTTTCCGATGTTCCCTACAGTCCTGCACAAGAACTTTCCGGCGCACAGGTTTAAGTTTTAGTCCCGCCGGTAAAACAAAGCCTTCATGGTCTGTCTTAATAAGCATATGTATGGAATATGCTTGACCGAACAGATCCGCTCGGTTGGTCAGACAGTTATCCACGCACGCGTTACCCCGCGTGGGGAAATCAACCATGAAATCTCAGCCAGACAAAGCCTTAAATTCTTGCATGTCCAGACAATTCACATATCCACCGCAAACAATAGCCGCTTCTGGGTGTTTGTTCAAAACAAGGTCCACAAAGGAGATTCATTAAGTCTATATCCCGGTAGCTATGCTTGGGAGGATTATACAGGCCACAAATTAGCATAATGTGATCGGACGGCAACAGCACCGTCAAAGCAATAAACTCATAGAAATTGGACCGTAAACATCCAGGACTTTAAGACTGTCTCTCACATAGACCGCAACACCCCCTTTTTTCCTTTTGTCCAAGTCTGCCCAACCTCTGTCCCGCCTGAACACATTGTAATTTGGGATATTCACCACGGCGTCCGGCATATTGGTGGAAAGATGAGTTTTGCTGACAACACACACATCAATGTCGTGAGATCTCAGGTCAGCCTCAAGAGCCACAGGTGTTCGCACACGATTCTTTGTTTTCGACAAGCCACAAATGTTCGTAAACAAACACTTTGGGACAGCGAATCCCGTTGATTTGGAAGTGGATGTTTTGTAAGTTGTGTTGACGAACGGAATATTTATTAAGTTACTCCGATCAACTTTCCGACCTTCAGCCTTGACGAAAAGGCGGCCGTTCATCACCGGGATTTTCTTGGTTGAGGTGGATCGTGAAATTCCAGCCCCACGTTGCCCACGGTACTTCAGAACGCCGAGTGACTTGAACTGAGATAGAACGGCCAGAGATGGATAGGAGGCTTTGTTTCGGAGCGACAAGGGTCCAGAGCATTTCAAAGACGCTGGCTTAGTTCGCATTAACGTCGGGTAGTTCTTATTGACTCCTCCGAGACTCCCGTCTGTCTCTGGACTTGTTGTGACTCGACGTCCTTGTCTATAGTGATATCTAGCATGATGTATTTCTCCGGTACTGCAAGCAAGGTTAGGCCGTGGACGCCCCCACAACACCACCGGTCGGCGAACTCTAAATTTAGGCATAGTAGACTTGGATTAAATATGTTTGAGAAGCCAAGGACTTTCAACTCCCCTAGAGTGATAATTGTAGGAGTCTTGGGCAGCATTCAGAACGAGAAGAACACTAAAAATAGTAAATAGGCGAAAAGCTCCTGAAAACGTGGCAGCCATAATGGCGCCTTGCACAAAAAAAAAGAAGAATGTCAAATTTTTCAAGAAATCCAGACAATCTGAAGTAAAAGAGCTTTTCGAAGACCTTGGAAAGACAGGGGAGAATAGAAATAGGCCTGTAGTTAGAGAAAAAGGAAGAGTCATCACATTTGAAGATGGGAAGGATCTTGGCTGTTTTGAGCTTATCTGGAAAAACACCTTGAGATAATGACAGATTACAGATATGGGTCAAACGGGCAGCTATTGAATCAATAGTATCTTTTATAGGGGAAATACAGAGGCCATCAAAACCCTCACATTTACTATTTTTTAGAGCATGGACTATATTAGCAACCTCAGTGGGAGAAGTTGGGTTACGATAGAAACACTTTGCATAATGACCAATCAGAAACTCTCTATACGTAATTTGAGTGGGAGAGATTTTATTTGCCAAAGAAGGACCAACATTAGCAAAGAAATTATTAAACTTTGTAGCTATCTGAGTAGGATTTGAGTATAAACCAGAACTATCTTTCATGTTATTGAAACGTTGCTCAGGTTCCTTTTTGGAGATAATCTGTTTTATGACTGACCATGTCTTTATTAAATCTGAACTGACAGAGAGCAGTTTGTCATAGAAGAATTTTTTTCCTGGCAAGTTTGATGAGAAAATTGTATTTATTACGGTATTTGTTGTATCTCAACTTGTTGAGTGCAGTTGGGTTTAACTGGAACTGTTTGTAAAGAGAATTTTTCCTTTTGCAACAAGTAAAGAGACCATTTGAGAAGCAGGGTTTTGAAGAGCGGTGAGGTTTAGAACATGCGGGTTGAAGAGGAAATGACATACTGTATGCCGAAGTAAGAAAACTAGAGAATGTGTCATAAGATTCATTTACAGAATTATTGGAATAGACTGAAGACCAGTCGACACCTTCCAGTTTAGACCTGAATGCTGACATAGTTGTTGAGTTAATAAGACGTACAAATCTCTTTTGGCGTGGTGGCTCAACTATCATTTTCAAGTGGGTAACTTGAAAAACTGGGAGGTGATCAGATAATTCAGTGTAAAGAATGCCACTATTCATGTTAAGGTCATTCATTAATACGAAGTTTTTCTCGTCTTAGTTAAGACGCGTCTTATCTAAGAACAGGTGTTAAGGGCTGTTCTAAAATAAGACGCGTCTTAGCTAAGCCGCTTCTTATTTTAAACGAAATTTGCCGTTTATACGGAAAGTTCGCGTCTTATTTAAGACACGTCTTATGTAAGACGCGTCTTATTTTTTCTCGTATAAATGGCCCTATTGTGTCAATCAAGTTATGCCTAGATGCTGGAGATAAATAGCACATTATAATCTGTGTTATTGTGGTGGCCGTTTTATGAGTGGCCCTTATATAAATAATCATCATCATAAAACCTCATCCTCAATAAAAATAATAATAAACAATTATTATTCATTCAAAATATTTCCCCAATTCTGATTGGCTAAAAGCACACGCATAATTCACCATAACCAGTTACTTATGACCGAATTTGGAAGAATTTTGTGTTTAACGAGGAAATGACGTCAGAAATGCAGCCCGCTACAGGTTAAGGCACCGTTACCGAGAAGACCTGGGGACGAGGTTGAGTTGTTTTGGTTGTGAAAAAAAAATGGCGGACATTTGACTCGTTTCAAGAGTAAGAACTACAGCTGGAACTAGGCAAAATAATAGCTAAAAACATGGCAAAAACAGCAAGAAGACAACTCGGCGGGCAACATCTGCTATTTGGAGAATATTTGCGGAGCTGGACAAACCTAAACGAACACTATCGAAGATGAACTTAACATCGATGCAGGTAAGCATGTTTTAGCTATGTTTTTAAACTAGGAATTATTTTGAATCAATAATAAAGTAATTAATGAGTACGGCTTTCGTAGCATATGAAGAATTAAGCAGATCTCGGAGGGTGTTATCGGCCGAGGTGGATAACACCCCCTCGATCTGCTTAATTCTTCATATCCTAATCAGCCTCATTCAGTAATTGCTTATTATTATTATTATTGTTATTGTTGTTGTTGTCAATAATGATACTTATTATTGGATTTACTTGTCCTCCCACCATCCATTTCAAGTTTATTACAAAGTGCGACAAGTGTTTTTACAAAGTGCGACAAGTGTTATTAAAAAGTGCGACGATGTTATTACAAAGTGTGATAGGTGTTACAAAATGCGACGATTATTACAAAGTGCGACAGAACATGGAGTCCATGTGCATTATTTATTACACTCCATTTGGTTTTCTATGACTTTTAAGTCCCAGAATTATGCTATTTCATACGGAGACCATGATCTAATTCTATTTTCCTTTTTAAATTGCCTTTTCTTTCCATCCATTCAGGATGAAGCGTGAAACAGTTACTGGATAAGAGATCAGAGACGTCTTGTCAAATTTACAGCTTACAAGAGTACAATAGCGTTTTTTCCCCGTTTCCATAGTCTACTAGCTGTAATTATGATTCTAGATTGAGAAAAGCGTTTAAGACGGAATCCACCAGGAAATTGAGTAGTTTCAATTTTCAGAGGACAAAAACCTTGTACCAAAATAATTAAAAGAGTATTGCATTTTTTTTTACATTTTTCAAGAGCTGAATATGTAATTAGTTATCTGTCATAGCACCAAAGAAACGTTCTTATGGGAGCCCGAGAAAATAAATGTCAAATTTCACAAAATTCATCTTAAACATGAAATTTTCCGAATTTTACCTGTGTTTTCACAATTCCTTGGAAATTTGCCATTCATTTTCATTCACGTCCACACTCATGAATCCGGGTAAATAGATATGCGGTTTCATGACTGTCAGATTCGTGTGGAGAGTGATCAACCTCAAATTTCTCTTTGTAATAGCAATTCTTTTTAACACTGACGGGACACGACAATTAACAAGGACATGATCAGACAAGATGTATTTAACTTTACTATACTTTTACCCGTGGATACGCAAAGGTTTACTAAGCGGTTATTTAAACGCTTAAGCATTCTCTTATTCCTTCCTTGCTTTTCCATATAAGTCGTTTTTATTCTAAGCGACATGGGAAAAAATTACCCTTAGTATCTCCTTGGGTTTTCCAAGATATCGTTACGTCAGTAACAACAGCACGATATAAAAGTGGAAACTATATTATATATTGTGTATACTAAACGAACCTACCTTTGATAAAATTATCGTCGTTTCCTTGATAATGAGGCCACCTTTTGAAGACAACATCATCATTTAAAATCTTGGCAACTAAAGAAGCAGCATTGGCACTTGCAAATTCGCTCCATTTTTCATTTGTGCTCTCTCTGCCATCTGCATAACTAGAAATTCCCTTTACAACAAGCCACTCAACTTGGAGGTCAAATGCAGCTGTGTAAAGCCCTGCAACAGAAACAGCGGCACCACTCATAAATGGGGCCATTGAGTATAGCTGAGAAATGAAATGAATTGCAGGATAACAAATTAAAAGATGCGTCCTCACAACCTGTAAATTTTTAAAAACTTCAAAGTATAACTAAGAAATGAAATGAATGGCAGGATATCAAATTGAAAGGTGCGTTCTCAAAACCTGTAAATTTTAAAAACCTAGAAGGCTGAACAGGTTATCCAAATGGTGAGCCTCTGTCTGGGTGTTTTCGACGTAATCGAATTCACGACGATTGCCGTTGATGAAGCGATGATCTTATAGATTAAAGCGACGATCGCAATCAAGTTTGATTGCGCGCTCGTTAAATCTCGCCCTTGTTTTTAACCTGCCCCCTAAGGGACCCCCTAAGGGCATTAAAAAGGACGCATTGCTATGGCCAACCGATTTTTTTTCTATTTTTTGCTATAACACCCCAGCCCCCAACTTTCCACCCCCACCCCACCGGGGATTTCATTACCTTCGGCTTCGGTGTCAACGGCCACTGCCAGAGGAAAGGTTTCAGCCAGCTGTTTACGCCGCAATTCTGTATTGATTACTTCTGGAACGCTCAACAGCTCACCGCTGCTGTGAATTTTAACTTCTCGATCTTCCGAGTTCTCCAAAGGAGCCTCCCAGCCAAGAGCTGAATCCTTAATGAGATCAAGAAATCTTTTGCTAGCAAACGTTCTTATATTATTGTGCAGCTCTTTATCATTTGTCACAACCTTCACTCCATATGTTGTCAACTTTGCAGAAATCACAATATCACCCAATTTGGTTTCCTCAGGACGGAGGCTATCGCACGTTCCCACTAAAATAACTGCTTTGGGCTTAAGCACTGAGACAGCATTTTTTGTAGTTACTATGGAGCCTCCCGGGACACTAGAACCTTCATGGCATCGCAATAAAGCAACTTTTACTTTCTCCTCTTGGCCTTCATTCTCGTCCTCGAAGTAAACAAAACCGAGACCATCGAACCAACTTCTGAATGGATTGTTCAGGTGCATATAGCAAGCTGAGAACTCACAGTCCTTTACAGTCAGTAACAAAATGTCGACAGGAAGGCGTGCATGATTCTGATGCTTTGTTGGTACCTTGATATCATTCATGCGGGGAAGTTTAACACTAAGCTGGGGCGGGTCTCTACTGGCGTCGCTGTGTTTCCTCTTAGTTCCCCTATTTGCACCATCTGAGATATCTTCTTCCTTTAAGTTGCTGCCTAAGTCCATGACGGGCGGGTTCGACATTTTGTTCAATTTAGACTTGAGAAGTCAAAATATGGATCTGGCATATAAAGAGTGCATACATTGTCACATGTTTGTCCAAGAAAGGTTTGATTTAAAATAGTGAAATTAAATAAAATAATAGTGAAATTAAATTAAAATAGAATCATCCTTACCCGACTAGCCAGCGGAAAGTGTAAGTACGGCACTTTATATACTAGGTAG